GGCCGCCGGAGTCAGGACAGACTCCACGACAATGGGTATGGGAAAGGAAGCAAACCGGTGGGCACTGGGGGCGAGGGGCGGGGGATGGGGTGGGAGACATTCCAAAAGAGCGAGGGGCACTTTGGGGAGTGAGGACGCCTTCAATCCCCCGATTGTGGGGACACTGGGGAGTGAGGACACCTTCACTATCCTGATTGTGGGGGACACTGGGGAGTGAGGACACCTTCACTATCCTGATTGTGAGGTGGTTTCATGAGTGTACATATGCCACCATTCATCACACTGTACACATGTGTGGCTTACCGTAAATCAGCCACACCTCTGCAAGGCTGCTGGCCAGAAGCCTCATCAGGCCAGGCTTCTCAAGCCTCTCTATGGTCCCCCCGTTCTTTTCTGAGTCCCTATCTGAACTCAGGTGACATTTCTCAGATGGTGTCCCTGCCAAGGTCACTGACGGCCCAGCAGCCCTCTCTGCCTGCACTCCTTGGGTCTTGGCACCAGAGGGGAGGTGGTGGACAGTGAGCAAAGCCCACAGTTTCTGTGAGTCCACTGCATTCCAAGCTCTTTGCTGTTGTTAGTTGTCATGGAGGTGAAGTTGATTCCGACTCAGGGTGACGCCATGTGTGTAGAGTAGAACTGCTCCCGGGGGTTGTCAGTGTTATCTCTGAAGGTCCATGGGGGCCTTTCTAATCCATGGACCCTTCAAGATAGATTGCTAGAACTTTCCTGCAAGGCACCTTTCCAAAACCAAACTCCCTGCCGCTGAGTCAGACCCAACTCATAGTGACCCCTCCTTGGGTGCCGAGGCAGCATCTCTACAGTAGATTACCCAACCCTCCTTCCAAGGAGTAGCTGGTAGGTTTGAACTGCCAGCCTTCTGGTCAGCAGTCAAACGCCTTAGGCACTATGCCACCAGAGCACCCAAGGCACCTTTAGGTGGGTTCAAACTGCCAACCTTTCAGCTGGTAGTGGAGAATGTAACCATTTGGCCACCTAGCAACCGCTTCTAGCACTTTCTGTGGGCGACTGAGTTGAATCCACACCACAGAACTAGAAGTTACAGGTGGAGGGCAGGGACTAGGCCATGCTCCTGAAAGACAAGCTCAGAGAGAGGGGCAAGGTGCTCTCACAGGACGCAAGCCCAATGCCACACCGCCACGGGGACGGCACAGCGGCCCTGGCTGCCTCTCCCAGGGCCCAGTGGACCCGTGGGCACCGAAGCTCTCCAGGGGCAGCCGAGCACCTGGGCGGCGGTGGCGCTCGACCGCTCGCCACCCCCCACCACCGCCGGGCCCAGCTCAGCCTCGGAAGCCCCCGCCTGAGGAGCTAACCATTTATGTCACACTGTGACAATTATTCTGCATAAAATTATCATTAAAAATCTTAATTTTTCAGCCTCCAACCCCGTCAGTGGCCTTTTAGCATGATTCCGCGCTGTCGTCGGCGGCCCTGATCACTGGCTCGTTACCGCGGTGTGGCGCCTTCCCCCTCGGCTGCAATCAGCGCTAATTAGACCCGCCCGGGGGCCGGGGGCCGGGGGCGGGGGGCTCGGGGGTTCGGGGGCCCAGGTCCAGCACTGGTTCTGGCCGTGTTGGGGGCCGCGATGGGGGGCCGCCGGGTCCTGGGCCCGGGCGCAAAGTGCTGGTTCCGGGCGGGAACGGCGGCGCCCGGCGCGTCCTTACCCGAGCGAGGCGGCCGTACGGCAGAGGTGCAGCGGCGCCAGGCCGTCGGCGCCGGGAAGGTC